TGCAGCACAAGAGCCAGGTTGTTCACACTTGTTAGGGTGTCCGGGTAGTTTAGTCCGAGAAACTTCTCGCGCCCCTCTAGTGCACGCCGATTCATCGTCTCTGATCCGTTGTACTCTCCTTGGTATTGCAGAACAATTGCCAGATTGTCGATAGTTGTTAGGTGGTCGGGGCGGTCCGATCCAACAATCTTGTCATACCCCTTGAATACGCGATGCTTCATCGCCTCTGATTCGCTCCGCCTTCCTTGGTATCGTAGCAAAATAGCCAGGTTGTTGGCACTTGACAAGGTGTCCGGGTGGTCTGGTCCAAAGGTCCTCTCGCTACACTCCAGAGCACGCCGATTCACTTGCTCCGATTCATGGTACTTTCCTTGGTATTGCAGCACCATAGCCAGGTTGTTGACACTTGTTTGGGTGCGTGGGTGGTCTGGTCCTAGAGTCCTCTCGCGCCCCTGAAGTGCATACCGATTCATAGCCTCCGATTCGTGGTACTTTCCTTGGTATCGTAGCGCCACAGCTAGGTAGTCAATGGCCTGCAGGACGTTGGGGTTATTTGGGCCCAATAATTCCTCAATATCCCCTAATAAATTCCGAAACATCTTCTCGGCGACTTCTGCCTTTCCCTGATACACGCTTGCCGCACCTAGGAGTATAACTCTCTTTTGACCTTCCTCATCCCACTCGTGCTTTTTGCTCTCTTCCCGAAGTGTGATAGATCGACGCAACAGAATTTCCGCTTCAAGGTAGAAACCCATATCCAGACAGTAATGTCCCACGCGAACACACAGGCTTTCGGCAATGGGGCCCTTTGCATCTATGGTTACTGCAATTGCATGTGGAATGTATGCAGAACCGACACACCTCCATTCGCTCTCATCGTGAGGGAACAGCCTTGAAACCACTCCCAGCGCAGTGGACCTCCACCGGTACAACTCCCCAATTGGTAAATACTCTTGTAAGGATAGTTGGACCAAACGGTGAAGTTTGTAAAATCTTTTGCTCTCACATACGACAGCCGTAACTAGCGAAAATCCTAATAGCGTTCCAATGGCCCGACGAAATTCAATGGGGCCATCTATCCCTTCCAAACCACTCCGCAGTAGCTCTTCGGGTATGTTCTGCTGATCGAGGAAGGAAATTAGGTGCAGAAGGTCCCCCGCCCTGGGTGTCCGCTATGTGATTCGGTCAAAGGTGATAAAGTAGGTAGAGAGGATACTTGCGGTCATATCATCCTGTGGGCGGATGTCGCAAAAGGACTGAGAATGAAGTCTCTTCGCCTCTTTGTCGCTCCGCCGGAAAATAGTCCAGTAATCAGATGCCCGTGTCTTTGTTTCGACCATGAAGACCGCCGCTCCTACGATAGCCACCGGGGTGTGATGTATGGAGTGCAGGATAGCTGTGATCGCCTCTTTATCGTCATCTGTCCGACGATTCCAGCTACTCAAGCGCAGCAAAAACAATGCTTGTGCTTCATCCTCCTGCATTTTTCCGACATGGATCCGTTTGCAACCCTGCCAGGATGCAATCCGGAGAGATCTGGTGGTGAATATTAGAGTACCCCTAGGCCCTTGTGGTACAAATTTGGAGATGCGACCGCTGTTGCCCATAAAGTCCACCTCGTTATCGGCGTTGTATCTATAATCCAACTGCTTTGTCTCATATATCGATACAGATTTAGGTTATTATAACTCATCATAGTAGGATTGTTACAGTTGTATAACCCTAATGAGGTCTGCGTTATAGGATATAGTATCCCTGTTAAGACTGGCAATTACCCTACCCTGTCACCACATCCTCTACCCTACAAGATATATTGATCCAGGACTATTTGAGGCTATTTATATAACTACAGTTCCGTAATTACACCCAGCCTATTACATGTTACACCATCCCACCAATCCACCAATTCATAATGTCTCTACGGTGGCCAGCATCATTGCATCCGCTGACTCAATCTCTTGCTCATCGTTTCATTATTGCTCGCAAACGTCCCTTCTCTGTTCTTCCTGGATCTATTTCTAAAGGAGCCTGTCGCCGAGTTCAGTTACATCGATACCGGAGAGCATGGGAAAGACTCAATACAAGCTGGTGCCATTTATATCAAAGGAATCAGGATGACTTTGGCAAAACAATTAATCACTTGATTACAGAAAATCAGTCCCTCCTTGTATGTTTCATCTTCCTCTTAATCCATATAGCCTGATATATCTAATAGTTTTCTAGGACTTTGCTTTACAGGAAAAGAAGCAAGTGATGAAGGTTAAGAGACATTTTTGCGTCCTAGGTGGCCTTGGTAGACTATCATAATCCATACCTTAGTTATTATTTCTAACATTCAATTGTAGAACATATTGTCTACCATGCCAGACTGCAGGGGAAGATACCAAGTAGATATCAGAGAACGCAACCAGCCCTGGACAAGTTAGCAATGGGGGATGAATTTATAAAAATTCTTAATGAGGAGGTACGAGGAAGTGGAGTCGCTCTCCATGGGGCTAGGAATGCTGTCCATAGTCTCTCCAGTTTGGGACATGCTCCACTGGATAATCCTAATATTACAATCTTCTCTACCGCCTACTCTAAGAGTCGTTGTGTTGCACTGATTGCCTTCTTCAAAATGCAGAGTAAGTGGAGAGGTGGAGTGCAATTCAGCATCAGGTAGTAAGGATAAATGCTTCTTTTTGATTTTTGTATTATAGGCTTGGTATACTCTGTGGAAGGCCTGCTCCGCAGAATAATTGCATCATAATAAATTCTGCTTCCACTAATTTACGAGTATATCAATATTCATTATACTCTCCGTTATTTAATGAAATACTAATACCTGATTGAGCTTCAAGTTATACTTAGTCACCATGTTGCCATGGCATCATAAATAATTCACAAAGTGGCGTTGAGCTATCCAGCAGTCTTTAGAGTGCCACCTAATTGCAAGGCGGCGGGTATCCGGGGGTTATGCAGCTCAAGCCACCACTGGGGCACGAGCACCTATCATACTTGCAAATTCATCATTTATCCTGGTTTACAGCGAGCCGACTTCAAACTACAATAGCTAATCCCCCGATTACCATGGAAGAATTCTAAACTAAATGCTACGACGGGCTAACCCTCCTTGCAACCACTGCTCCCAAACATAAACCCAAATATCACTACCCCCAAGCTCATGCGCGCACTACCCATGTCGATCCACGACGTCCCGGGTTCATGCGCCCTCCCTCCCGGCAACCCTCCACTCACTATCCCCCAACATCTTATTCCTTCTCCGCTAACTAATTCAATATGCATCCCCGAAACCATTAAAATGATATATCCCAACACGCCCGAGTGTAGTAACCCCAGGGAATGAGGCTCTCTACCCAGAAACCAAGAGGCTGTTCCCACGAGCAATACAGCTCCACCACTCTCACCGACAAGAAAGACACCACAATTTAACGCTATTGGCGAGGTGAAGAGTTTTTCCTGCTAGTTTTGTCGGAAAGGCAAACGACTATCGATCCCGGAGAATCTAGAACCCACGGTATTGTCTCCGTAGGCTCTACGCCTGGTTTATTGTTATTTTTCTTTGGTCATCACTATTTTTCATCATGTTTATCAGTCATCCTTTTTTTGTCCTCTATATCACTCTTCCAATCAATACCAAAGGCCCACGGCATTTATTGACTCATCATTTTAGGTTTATTGGCTGCAATCACAGAGTTTCCGACCGAGGTCATGAAAAGCCCCCTGCTATAATTTGATGTATTATATATTAATGCGCCAAGAATTCTGTACGTAGTTGAAGTCTCATGGCAAAGGCTGTATTCTGCATGGGGCAATATCCGGCTCCCGAGGATACTGGCCGCAAGAGTCTCCTGCGATATCTCCATAGTGACGACCCCTGGTTATCATGGGAGCGCGCTGAAGAGATATTCGGTCCTGTATGAATTGAGCCCCTCAGTTGTGTTCCTCATGTTTGTCACCGATATAAAAAATGTCTACCACAACCCGGCATATCACAATGACAGCATGTGGTAAACCCCCGATACTCGTTACCCACCTCGCTTACCATCATCGCCTCCTATCCCGAGAGGGCTGTGGCCGGCTCCGGGAAAAAGGAAAAAGTCCCACGGGGATTCTCCGTCCGGGGCACGTTCTCTCGCGATAGACACTGTTTGGTAACCTAGCAATACACGGCGTGTCTAGCTATCTGTCCGTCCATCCAGGCTGCTATATTCGTTGACTAACTCTCATCGATCCGGATTCTTCCCTTGGAATTTCAACTAACTATTAATCAAACACTTCACACGCGCTCAGAAAGGTAGTCATTCTCACGGGCTAAATTAAGTTCGGAAAGACAGAATGCTAAAGATCACTACAGCAGGGTTCCTGGCCTCCTCTCCTATCGGGATGACACAAAAAAACAGCATGATAATGTTTCCTACGGCCGACGCCAGTATTTTCCCCGAGTAGGGTAAATTCTCCTACGAGTGCATGGGAGGCCTGCACAGTCCCGATGCTCCAGCTGAGGCTGGTTCTTAGACTGACGCCACCCAGGGTGGCAGCAGTGCAGTAGGAAATTTTGGTTCTTATTCCGGTACTATCACCCCCTTGAGATTCCCCGGTGGGAGGATTGGTGGCCCGTTCTTGCCATTATCTTTCTAAGTCACGCGGACGCAGTTTGACGCCGCCGACGCCCACGGCGCTCAGCCTGCTCCCCCATGGAAGCCATGAAAGGCTTCGATGCCTGTAAAGCCACAACAGAGAATAACCTCTTGGTCGGGCATAACAAGGAGGATATTTCAGGAAAGCTCCTGGAAATAACTCCCGTAAGGGATTCCGCCAGGGCTGCTCCTAGAAGGTCCTAGGAGGCAGGATTATCTCGTATTGGGTATTCATGATACTTGCGGAAGGATAGCAAGCGAGTGACAACTTATGATTCGGAGGATAGTGGGGGTGACTGCAAGGAACCTATCGGGTGAGAAGGCATAAATTATCATTTCCCATTGAACATGAACCAATGTATTGCTAAAAGGGAAAACAAATGGTAGGAAATGATATTCGAAATAAGGTATAAATTCGCAACATTTCCGATCTATGCTTCTCCAGCCTGCCAAAAACGTCCTCTCGTTCATCACTTCCCCAATCCCGCACAGTCTGCCATCCCACCCCGTGTAATGCGGGAGTACCCTGAGCCGGGAGAAAATACTAGCCAATCCCCGCCCCCACTGCAACCGAAATATTGCCTGCGGTGAAATGAATCACTAGGTTGGTCCAACGGCCTTGTAGAATCTAAAGTTCTCCGGAAACAACGAACAGGGCCGGCAAACGGTGGCCATGTATTGTCTTGGTTTCCTGGTAGTGTCTGCCGTGCACGCAGCCAAATAGTCTCGGCATCGTCACACTCTTCTTGGAACCGCAGTAAGGTGGCTAAGTTGTTGGCACTTGACAGGGTGTCAGGATGGTCTGGTCCATGAATCTTCATTTGTCTCTCTAGAGCAAGCCGATACATTGTCCCTGATTCGCTATACTTTCCTTGGAATCCTAGGACTATAGCCAGGTTGGTGACACTTATTAGAGTGTCTGGGTGGTCTGGTCCGAGAAACTTCTCGCGCCCCTCCAGTGCACGCCGGTTCATCGTCTCTGATCCATTGTACTCTCCTTGGTATTGCAAAACAATTGCCAGATTGTTGATAGTTGTTAGTTGTTCAGGGCGATCCGGCCCAAAAATCTTCTCATACCCCTCTAATACGCGCTGCTTCATCGCCTCCGATTCGCCGTGCTTTCCTTGGTATCGCAGCAAAATAGCCACGTTGTTGGCACTTGACAGGGTGTCCGGGTGGTCTGGACCAAGGATCTTCTCGCTACACTCCAGAGCACGGCGATTCATCTGCTCCGATTCATGGTACTTTCCTTGGTATTGCAGCACCATAGCCAGGCTGTTGGCACTCGTTTGGGTGCGTGGGTGGTCTGGTCCAAAAGTCTTCTCACGCCCCTGAAGTGCATACCGATTCATTTTCTCTGATTCGTAATACCTTCCTTGGTGTTGCAGCATGATAGCTAGGTTGTCAACACTTGTTAGGGTGTCCGGGTGGTCCGGCCCAAGAATCTCCTTGCGCCCCTCTAGTGCACGCCGATTCATAGCTTCCGATTCATGGTACTTTCCTTGGTATCGTAGCGCCATAGCTAGGTAGTCAATGGCCTGCAGGACGCTGGGGTTATTTGGTCCCAATGATTCCTCATTGTCCTCTAATAAATTCCGAAACATCTTCTCGGCGACTTGTGCCTTTCCTTGATATACGCTTACCGCACCTAGCAGTATAACTCTCTTCTGACCTTCCTCATCCCACTCATACTTTTTGCTCTCTTCTCGGAGTGTGATAGATCGACGCAATAGAATTTCCGCCTCATGGTAGAAACCCATATCTAGACAATGGTGTCCTACCCGAACACGAAGGCTTTCGGCGGTGGGGCCCTTTCCATCTTTGGTTACTGCAATTACATGTGGAATATATGCAGAACCGACACACCCCCTTTCGTTCTCATCGTGAGGGAACAGCCTTGAAACCACTCCCAGCGCAGTGGACCTCCACCGACACAACAGGCCGTTTGGTACATACTCTTGTAAGGATAGTTGGACCAAACGGCGAAGTTCGTAAAATGTTTTGCCCTCACATTTGACTATCGTAACTAGCGAAAATTCCAATAATATTCCCGAGGCCTGACGGAATTCGAATGGGTCGTTCATCCCTTCCAAGCCACTATGACTTAATAGCTCTTCGGGTATGTTCCGACGATCAAAGAGCGAAATTAGACGCTGAAGGTCCCCCGCTCTGGGTGTCTTCTGTGTGATTCGGTCAAAGGTGGCAAAGTAGGTAGTGAGGCTGCTTTCGGTCATATCAGCCTCCCGGTGGATGTCGTAAAAGGGCCGAGAAAGAAGTCTATTCGCCTGCTCGTCGCTTCCCTGCAAAACGGTCCAGTAGGTAGATGGCCGTGTTTGGCTTTCCATCATGAACGCTGTCGCTCCTACGATAGCCAGCGGGATGTGATCTATGAAATTGAGTATCATTGTGATCGCTTCTTTTTCTTCATCTCCCCAACTGTTCCGGTTGCCCACGAGTCTCAAAAACAAAGCTTGTGCTTCATCCTCCTGCATTTTTCCCACATCGATCCTTTCGCAATCCTGCCCGGATGCAATCAGCGGAGATCTGGTGGTGAATATTAGAGTACCCCGAGGCCCTTGCGGTACAAATTTGGAGATGGGACCGCGGTTGTCAATAAAGTCCTCCTCGTTATCGGCGTTGTCGATAACCTGTATCCAATCGCCACTGTCTGGGCCTTCTAACCACCTCTTAATATTCAATAGTAATCCCTCTTCGTCTGTCTCGGCGCTAGCTGGTGGAATTCGAACATGTTGTGCAATAGTTCTGAAACCCTCACTAAATTTTGCTACCCCACTCCCCTGCACCCAGAATATACCACAGTCGCCCTCCCCTGCCCGCTGATAAACGTATTCGAGGGCAATCTGAGTTTTTCTAAGCAATGTTAGTGAAACCTTGAAACAATAGTAACAATAGTGAATACATACCCGGTGCCGCCTAATCCATTCAGCGCGATCCGGTTCCCCCCTTTACTCTCGGAAATCCTCCTTAGTAAGTCAATGAGATCCTTACGGCCTGTGAACTTGGTGTTTCTGCAATAGGGAATTATCCGATAAGGCCTGGATGTTTCTCCTAATTATGATAGCGCATTAGAACATTGCCGTAAATATGGCGGGAAAGTTGATAATACCCCCGCGCTGAGCCCCGGGCATGCGTCCCTGTTGTGTCTGCCCGAGATTGGGAATATACGGGTTTCCCGTGTTTGCACGATTATCATTCCGGCTGCCAAAAGAATCGTGATCACCCGAGTTCCCACAGCTGGTACCCCCAATATCAAATGGGATCCTTCTGGGAGGATTATTAGACGTGTACTTATTATTTTTGAAATCATTAACATCGAGGGGAGGGGAGCCCACTGATCCATCAAGTGCTCTAGTATCTAGCTCACTGTAGAGCCTTTTCCCAAGGTGGGGTAGAAAAGTGATTGAATGTCACTAGGGTATCTGGAACGGGAAAGATATCCTATATGTCGCCAACCGAGGTGGTTCAAAATCGCTTCGGTAGCGGTGAAAAAAGTCCGCACCGTGAGATATGGTATCATAGAACGAGTAGCCAAAGACCCAACCTTGGAAATGGAGTTGAGTGACTCTCTAGTTTGGAGGTAGTTATGAAGTGGAATCTTAGCTCGCGTAATTCGAATTCGGTGAAGTCCAAAGATTTGGCACAAGGATATGGAACGGGTATTAGAGCGAGAGCGTCTCGGGGCAGTAAGGTTCACTTGCCCGAAATCAGGAGCGTTAGCAGCCTAGGGGGGGGGGGGGCGCATGGAAAGCAAGCAATGGGTACAGTATTGTGGCCTCATTGCCATTATACCCCCCCGCCAGCTCGGGAAATTGCGGCAGTTAGTTGGGCTTCGATCGCGCTCCGGGTAGTGATCGGCATTTGGTGCATGTTTCTTTATCATACGCAGCTGGAAACTAGCGCATCAGGAGACATGGCAACAGCTTCTTAGCTGCAAAGCATTTTCCTGCATGCTCGGGTAGCCTACGGTAGCTCTTCGCTTTGTGATAGCGGTACAATACTCCATCAGCTGGAGAAAACAAATTTGAGCCCACCAAATGATGACGATATAGGAACAGAGCCGGCCATGCTTGGAAGGGGCCCTAGCCGCTTACAAGCTCCATTTCTCCATAAAGGGCTGCCCTATATCCCAGACGAAGAAAGCGCATCATCCCACCATACCTTAAAGCCGATTAAATATCTAAAATCCGAGCCGGTGCACAAAACAGCTCAGAAAGAGAAGAGACACAGCGCTCCTACAACCACCCAACCGATAATGCTTTCGTGAGGCCTGGGAAAACTAGCCAGCATGCGCTAGCACGTTCAAGGGCTATGGATGCACCTGCGCGAGTTCCCGGTGAAGGTGGGGCAAATGGTATCGGAGGTCGCACAAGGCTGCCGTGGTTACTCGAGTACGGTATCGGTGGGGGTAAATGGCAAGCGAAGCGGGTGTGGCAGCACCAATCACGCCAAACTCCCGCCACCCCCACCGAAGAGAGAATAGCCTCACGTAGCGTAATTCGCTTAATTCACTGGTATCCCGATGGATGCGGCAGCAAACATTGAGGCCAAAAGTGTTGAGCACGTACCGTGCCGTACGCAGTCTTTGAGTTGGCTGTCCAATTGTGCCCGTATTCGTGTACTGTACTGTACTGTACAGTACACACGATTCTTTTAAATCTGAACTGAGGGGTGTCTGATGGTTCACTCCTTCAAATATCACTTCTTGCTCCCTTCCGGTGACCCTCCATCCCATCAATCCGAAATGCTCGGGCTTACATGGGCCAATCTTTCGCTGCACCGGTATACCGCAGCACCTCTTTCATATCACGGGTAGAGTGTCATACCGGAAATTCCAAAGCCTTCTGCCAGGATGCACACACCATTATCCGCACAAGCCAACCGCTGGACCGCAAATATGAAAGCGAAGTTGAAAGGAGTGCTGAGCACATTGGCCCCTTCCAGGGTGCTGATTCCGCGGGGATTCCCGGTTTTTACTCGTGTCTCCGAGCCAAGAATGGGCACCCAATTGGGAATAGACCATATGCTCCTAAAAGTAGTAAAGTGTTCATGCTAGGCGCGGTGATATCAACATATGGTGCCATTCACTCAAAAAGTATACCTTGCTCAGTGCTGATATCGGCAGTCCTCCTTGGGTAGGCCAAATGACCACGCAATCCAGGTAGGCCAGCTCACAGAAAGTCGCAGGCATGTCGGGTTGGTCCCGGCGCTTGGATGGAGTGGCTGCTCAAGAATACAGTGTTGGAGTGCACCTGATTTCATATGGGGTTGTCTGTTTGTCAATGGACAACCAGAGTAGGAGGAGGGAACTAGAAATAGGAAAACAAGCCATTGCCAGATATAAGTATTTTGGGTGCCTAGATTTGATGAATACCGCGAATTCGTATAATGGTGTTGGTATTGTAGCTCGTGTCGTATTGTCCATGTTTCAGCGCTCTAGAAGCTTCTCTTCGTCGTTCTCCCTGCTGCCAATATCTTGTAGTCTGTATTCTGTAATCTCGCCTGCCACGATGTCCTCCTTCTCTATGACTTTATGTCTTTGTATACTCTGATAAAGCCATATGCCCCAGCCACCCTGCCATACATAATACTGTCAGCAATTGCTCTACTAGTACCATACCTAGCGATGAGGGAGCAAGAAGATGTTTGACCACGAGGAGAGAGAAATCCAGGAGGCCCTCAGAGTTCTGAATTGCTTGCTATGCTAGTATACACGAAGTAGAGATTTGGAAATGGGGTAGTGAAGCTGCAGCGCGGGGGGGGGCGGCCGCTGTTCGCGTGTACCGTGTGCTTTGTCGGGCGCGGGCGGCGGTGGGGGGTGGGTGGGGTTTCAGGGACCTGGGTGGCAGTAGAGTGCAATATACGTGGGTGCAGAAGCTGTTAATCATGATCTAATAAGTCACATAGGATACAATAACTCTTAGGTCGAGATTTTGTTTCGGTGTTCTATACCGACCAAATTTTGATCAATCACTTTGGCCGAGCTGCCATGTACTCTCTATGCTGCACGCTGCCACCTCGAGGTGCCAGTGGCCTACAGTATTAAAATATTGTATACATGGCGGGGATTTCGTTCCTGCCTACCATGGAAGGAGGGTGATTGCGGCGCTGGGGCATTTGTATTCCAGATGACTAGCACAACTACTGTGACTATTTGTCCCATGCTACTACCTCCTCTAAGTGATGTGTATACTCCCGGGTTTTGCGTCCCTCTGTGGCATGTATTGGCGGGGGACCGGATAGCCAGGAAGCGCAGGGATCAAGGCTTCTTTCTTGTCTGATCAGAAGGCATGCCGAATCTATTGTTTTGTTTCGTACAAGGGGAGTAAGATCATTCGGCCTAGAGCCCCCACGCTCGTGTGTGAGACCTATTATTTTTCTCGCTTGTTATTACCGTAAAACTGGTATGGTAAACTGCTCGCTTAGAGGAGAGAGGGGTACTGTACTCGTGCGTCCGAACCAAGAATGCGTAGACGCACAGCCACTTGCTTACCTGGGGACTTTTGCGGCTCAAATCACGTGTTAATTTACATGCCACGATGCAACACGGAAAATAAACTTCTTGAGCCCCACCTCTTCCACCTAAATCACCATCAGCATACCTGCAATTACTTTCTCCCCCACAACCCAAACTCTTAAAAGAGGTGGGCAGAAAGCTTGCCATGTGAAGTCCACCTCCCTAATCCTCATGGAGCTCGCGCCTTCAGAAAGAACAAATAATCCGGTATTCACTCGAAAGAGGGATGTGGTAGAGGAGTTCCATGCAAATTTTAATGTTTGGTGACGCAGATGGGTTCGCATACGGATTAAACGAAGTTGATGGTTGATCCCCCGACGGAAGCAATGAAGGAGTGGGGGGCTCGCCGACCGAAGCCGGAGATGAGGATGCAGGAGCGAGCCTATAAGGACTTCAAGAGGACAAGTTGTTGTTGGTCAATGAGGGGCTCTCCGCTGCGGCTGCAATCGCCATCAGGGATATTTTAGATGCTGGTCATGGCTCTTTGCGAGAAGAATGATATCTCTCGGTATGTCAATACTTTGATGATATGACCACCGTCTCGTTTGCCGAGCGGGGCTTACCATATTAGCTTCGCGACACCGAGACCAAACACCTTTATCTATGGGAAGAAGTATTCTGCGCAGCTGCGCAGACAGTTTGAAAGCGGTTATTGTGTACATGAGGGGGCTGCTGGTGATCTAGATACGAAGAGGGTGAGGTTGAACGGTGAAGATACGGTACGCGAGGTAGTGATGAAGACATGTGCGGGGTGGGGGCGAAGGGGGAAGGTGGGAATCAGCAGGCAGTGCGATCTGCGCCTGGTCTTAGAGAGATTCTTAGGAGCACTATAAAATAGACACATAAGGTTCTACGGGGGTTGCGGCCGGAGAGGTTGACACTAGTGAGGTTTGCGGATGGGAATAGGAATTGGTGGCAGGTTGGTATCTCTCCCGCTCCCCCTTCGTTTAGCATCAAGCAGTTAACAAATTTCTAGTTAATGATATCAACGCTCCACTTCCATCTCTACCCCCCTCCTTTCCTCGGGCCCCCGGCTTAACTCTCTGGATATCCCACATGAAGGGCACCACAAAGCACCCGCCACCTCCCTGCACGTGCGTAATACCCATTTCAACAGCCCCCCTCGACCCCTGCGGTAGAAGTATTAGCAACGACGGCGGGCGGAAATACTTCTACACCCTCTCGACAGCCGCTGTTCTAAAACATTCCCTCAATATACGGTCACACAGAGGCGTAGAGGTCAATGGAGACCTTCCACATCTTTCCAAATAGAAATAAAGTAGGTGGAGTATTTGAATTGGAGGTCCTCTCGTGGGGGGTGGGCGCGCGGCCATGGCCCTTGGAGGCGGCGGCAGATGGAGGAGCGCTATTAGCGGCCAGAATGGGATCGCAACATATCCGGTCATGCTAGGAGCTTCGGAGGTGACCGGCATGCTCTCGCCGATGGAACAAAGGAAAATTCTAAGCCCGTAAAGGTACGCGAGGGGCCAGTCACAGCAATCAGCGGTACCGCGCTCTCGCCTAAGGGCCCTCGCTATGGCGGGTCAAGTGAAGTAGGACATTTTGAGGATACATGTGTTTACGTTTCCCCCACCCTTTATATACCCGGCTATCTAATAAACGGACACCCGCTTGCGGGGAGTGCATTTGCGCGGTTGTGCCATTTACCGGGTTTCGCTCACATGGGATTTTGGGGCGGGGCCGCGGCGATAAGAAGGGCGGGGAATGAAACCGGCATCATAGCTATTAGACATAAGGCCATGGGAGATAGCATTGTGAGATACAGTCTTCACCTGACCGAAGAATTTATGGTGAAAACCTTTGTAGAAATATAGTACTTGTATATAACTACCAACAAAAACAAACGGCAGTAATTGTAACCCTCCATTCACCCCACTCTAGACGCATAAGACTCACTAGTATTATCTTGATTATCCGCTTTCCCGTGTGCCCCGCTACAGCGCTGAATCAACAATGATGGCTTCGAGTGAACTGGGGGAAGCGTGCGAAGATTCTTGGACCCCACTACCGCAAAACCCAATTAAGTGCCGATATCCCGGTTATGGTGCTACAACTCCAAGGAGAGTATGATAAGTCG